TTAACTCTTTTTTTCTACAAATGTAGAAAATGAGCAGCATGCATCTGGTGAAACTCAATATGTACAAAAACAATATGCAAAAAAACCCCTCCTATATACACAGATAAAACGATAGGAATCAATACAAATACACACATGCACACTGAACTCACGCGGTGAAGCCATTAATCATGTGTGCATATTTGATGAGCACCAGATCCAGCCAACCACATCGCCTCTTCCTGCCTGTGGTCACGCCCACCTCCTTCCCCCGAGTCTGAAGTAGCTCTCCGATGTCCTGAAGACAACGAGATGAGTGAAGACACTCCATGAGTCTCAGGTCTTTAGTGCTCACTGACTGGCTGAATGTTTTTTGTTAAATGTTTAACGGACTTTCTCTCGTTCAGACACCAAAAATACTCAGCCATTAAAGATTGGCCTCTGCATTCAGGCTTCAGGTTTAAGGTTTAGCAGGTGTCACTTGACAATAAAAATGTAAGTTTACTACAGCTCGTCATTCATGGCAGTGTAGCAAGACCACATCCGGGTGGTGCTGTTTGAAAATAAGACTACTCACCTTTATCAACAGTTCTGGAAATTGTTAAAATCATGGAAAATAAGAACACATTCTCTCAATTACTCAACGATGACATTGTTATCTCAGATAAAGTCAAAATTGAATTTTACTTAGCATTTTGTTAAAGCTGGTCATGCATTTGTAGCTGCCGCACTGACACACCAAGCACTGACCCCCACTTGGGGAGCTGCTCAAACTGGATCCTTATAAATTAGCTGGACTTGATGCTCTAGACCCCTTCACTTGAAGTTAGCGGCACATATGATCTCAGGTCCCATAACTTGTCTGTTCAACCTTTCCCTGCAGACCTGTGAATTCCCCCCAGGACTGGAAATCTGCAGCTGTCACCCTACTCTACAAAGGGGGGCAAAAACTAAGACCTAAAGTGTTACAGTTACTATATCCATCTTTCCTTGCCTCTCCAGAGTCTTGGAGAAACTGGTCAACAAACAGCTACTTCTCTGGTTGTGTATATCTGTCAGAGCTGAGGGTTTCCTGTCTGGCCCTTCCCTGTCCATGGGTGTTCCTCAATTGTCCATTCTAGGTCCCACCTTTTTCAATCTCTATATCAATAATGTTGCTCATGCTGCAGGGAGCTCTCACATCCACAACACCATTTTGTACAAATCCAGTCCCTCCCTGAACACTGCTCTGACTTCCTTGTAACAGAGCTTCAATAGTATCCAATATGCCAACTTTCACCTTCTCCTAAGTACTAATAAAAGAAAATGCATGGTCTTCAACCAGATCTTACCTCAAGTCGCATGCCCCCTTCAAAATCTCCTCCTTGGACGGGTCAGAACTTGAATTTCACCTCCTACAAATACCTGGGTGTCTGGCTGCAGAGTTTACTCTCCTTTCAAATGCACATCAACATGCTGCTCTCCAAAGTGAAAACAAGAACTGGTTTCCTGTATCACAACAAAGCATCTTTAAAGCACTCTGCAAAGTTAAGATGGTTAAGATAACAATTTTTCCAAGCTTGGATTATGGCGACTTCATTGGAAGAACCCCTCCATATCTCCACTCAGTACTCAGTATCTACAACAGTAACCTCAATTTACACTCCAGCAAATATATTAGTATGGTCACTCCTATAGTCTGGACCTCCTTTCTTTTCATTCCAGTTTGCTGCTGCTAGTGATTGGAACAAGACGCTCAAACTTCATACCTTCATTCTGTTACCCCTACTTTACTAACTCATTACAAGCGATAGTTTCTGATTGGCCAGGTCAGGTAAAAAACCTTTCGCTGTATGGTGTACATAAAGTCATTACTTAATTTAAAGGATATTTATGCCATGTCTGAATATGGATGGGCGTTATAAATTACTGCATGTTGCCTCTTACGTTGCTCTGCTCTGAGGGGAAAGCTCCGATGCCGACTCTGGTGGTGTACGCCTTGACGACGCCGTAAACCTCACCAACGTTCTGAGGCGGCATGCCGAGACCTGTACACACCCCGCCCACCGTGCAGTTGGACGATGTCACAAACGGGTACGTCCCTGCAATGACACAAGAAGTAAACAGTGATAACACCAGATATTGGTTGAACAAACAATGAAATGAACAATAAATGTGGGAAGATTTGTCTCTAGCAGGGATTTTCAAAAGGTGGACACTGTGCCCCCCCGCCTCATTCTCAGTTTTAGAGCTACAGTTCCCATAATGCTTTGGGGGATGTTGCTATAGTTTCTGTGAATAACACAGCAACAACTTTTTTTCAACCTATATATTTGTTTACATTTTGCCCAACTGGCACCATTAGAAGTGTGTCGAAATTAACTATTAGCAGTTACTGTTTGCACTGGACCCACGGACACAACCAACCATCACTGGATTACTTTGATACAGAAGAAAACATGATTCTCAGGCAAGTTCTGGATTTATAAGCACATAAGATATCCCTGGAAAGTGTAAATCACACTGAATCTAAAACTAGATCATGTCTGTGTGTTCAGAATTCAGAAGAGAAGAGTCTTTAGGGCCATTTAGGTACTTTAAAACCACCTGAATTGTCTCCATGAGCTCTGCGTCACATCTGCTCAGCAGCTCCAACTGCTGAGCAGCCAAATCAGCGGTCAAACTACAATAACTAAGTTGCCATTGTTTTTAGAACACGTGAAAGCACCTGTCTCTTTCACGCAGGATTTTTGCCTCACAGCTATGCCTCTGTGGCCCCCTGCAACTCTTGCACAGTTTGAAAACCCCTGATCTAGAGGAAGGTAGCACGTCAAATTTAATGACAGCACTTTTCGTTATCCTCTGGATTAATTCATCTCCAAATTTCTTTTACATCACGTACAGTGGTGTGGGCTTTGGAAGGGTGAGGGTGATGAGCTGTTTCAGGACAACGAACTGTGTTGATATAACAGCACCTGTCCTGATGTAGTTTACTGAACAATCGAGCTTGGACCTAACAACTCTGGCCTGCTTCTTCGTTCAGTCACTGGACATTACACCTCATTAGACAAATACCTTTGGACATGCTCACTGGCTCATGACAAAACCTGCCAGTTCACTTAATTAACTGAAATGTTCTCTAATACCTAGCTGTGAGTGTGCCTTGAGGCCTAACTGGCTTCTAGATAATTGAGCTGCCTGAAAAGAAAGAACCTTGCCCATCTGACACTTTTTTCAAAAGCAACTTTTGGTCTTTTGTTTGACTATTCCCAAGTATGTCTCTGAGGGGATAACTACACTTACCTCAAAAAACATAGTGAGCTTCAGAACCTGTCTTTCACCTACTACAAAAAAAAGCGTACAAGGATCGAGTGTCCACGCGCCGATATTTTTTCACGTAGGCTGTTGTGTAATCAAAGAAGAACCGGTTTGACGAGAAGCCAGTGTGTTCACCAGCAGTTCTGTGTCATGTCAAAGTGCTCTTTGGCTAAACACTGATGCCGTAAACGCTCCCAAATTCCAAATAAATCTTGATTAGTTTTATACACATAATCTTCAAATTATACAGATTAAGTTATAGCTTGATGTTGCTGTGACATTTCCCACAACTTCTAATCAAGTATAGATATAGCCAGTCAGAAAGAGCGGCTGTTTGCCTATCAGTGTGCAGGACACTGTTCTCTGATACCAGAGTTATTACAAGCACAGTGTTTTGATAATAACCAGTGTTGAACCTGGGTCAGTGCCATCACTGCTCTCAATGATGACAGGTCCGCCCTGTAACAGTGACATACTATAACGCCTAGAAGATTAGTATGTTGAGTCTGTGGTGTCATTATCTAAAACGATAAACACAACTGTCATGCTTTCAAACAACCTTTTGACAATATTTCTGGATTTAATGTTTACTCTGTAATTGTGATCGACTGACTGACAGGATGCCTTCGTGCTCATGCACAGTCATGTGACATTAAGTGGTTCAACTGTGAGCGTGCACGTCAAGCCTGAATGCCAGAGCACCACTGTAGCAGTTAGTAAACTTACCATCATCTCTAGTCTGAGCTCCAAGCAGGCTTTTGTAAAGATCATCACAAAGCTTAAGTGTTTCAGGGCAACATCACTGGGTCACTATAAATGCATTCAACAGTGCTTGGCAAATAGAAACGACATTTATTCTCAGAGCACAGGTTAGCATAGAGAAGTCGGCTTATATTCAAATGGATAATTGGAAAATATACAGAACCAAACAAGTTAAGAGTAAGGTGTGCGTAATTGTGACGCTCACATACATGCACAGCAATATACTAACCAAAGTCTATGTCCAGTAGTGCCGCGTTGGCTCCTTCCACCAGGATCTTCTTAGGAGGTCCATGAAGAGCTTCATACATGTAATGCACCCCATCCCTCACCATGGGCTTAATCCGCTCCACATAGTCCTAAAATCATATCAAATCAAATCATAAAATGTTATGACAAAGAGGACAATGTAATGTTTCTAGAAATTATTTTGTGTTTTGTTATTTAGTTTAACTTCTGTTACCTTTAACTTGACCAGTTCTCCCTCTATGTCAATCTCCAGAGTAGGGTACATTGCCTTGTACTGCTGGGCCAGTACTTTATACCTGTAACAAGCAACATTAAACAGTTTGAATGAATTTCCTCTCACCATCATTTATTTCACCAACTGGGCTGGTAAGATACCATTTAACATCATGTTTCTATGAGATTAAACCCACAGGAGGCTCACAAACCACATATCTTGCTATTTATACTGTGCTTTAGAGATTGATTGTCCCTTATCAACGACCAGTCCCAGACACAAAGCTTTCACTCATTTGAATGGAGACCAGTTACAGTGATGCAGCTGGGATGCCAAAGCAGAGGGCATCTGCAGAAAACACTGTGTCGTCGGCAAAAGAACTGAACTTTTGCTAGATCGCACCATGGCGTCATCCAACCAATCAAATACATGCAAATGCACATTCCTGGTGGATCACTTTGTAACGTGAATGTCGTATTTCTACTTGCGATAGACCTTTTTCACAGCGGCAATGACTTGGTTTGACTTGGCGCATCAGCACAGCGGGGCAGAGATTTGCATCTTCGGGGCTACCTGCTAGAAGTTGTTTCTTTAAAAAGGCAGTGATGGCCGAGAGAGGTCAAGATTGAAGGAAGAGAGGGGCCGGCATACGTATACTAGTTTTAGTCACCAACTAAGCTCTACTAATTTGGCAATAAACACATTTCATTTCCTATGAATTCTTCACAATCAAATGTGGTTATTTTGTTTATTAAAAGCTTTTATTATGAAGCAGTAAGATTTTCATCTGCAGTAACTTAGCTAAACACTCCCAAGACGTCCATCTCTCTGGTCTCTGGCACGCATGGCACAACTTATAGCGATTACGCTGATAAAGGAAACGGAAATCTGCATGGCGTGGTTTGACTCACCATGGTTTAAAAGAGCCAATGGAAAAGCCCTATTGGATTTGTTAGTCAAACTGGACTTCTGAACAGGCAATAAAACTGAAATCAGGTGTGTGTGGTTGAAATGCAGGTAAAGTTTTTGTTTCCTGGTTAAAGGAAAAGTTTCAGTGAGGGAAAGGGGCTGTAAGGCATGAAACAAACAATTAAATTACTTATTTAAACAAAACACCAGACAGAGACATAATCCTATACTATTGGCACAGACCTTTCAGAAAACTTAGTGAAGTCAGCCAGCAGGTCACATATCCTGAGACCGCTACGTGCAGCCTTGGCCGAGTACACTGGACCAATCCCCTTCTTTGTTGTCCCGAGGCTGGGCAGGGCCAAGAGAGGAGGAAGGGAAGAACATAGGAGATAGAAGGAGCATTAGCATGTGATCTCAGTCTACAACAAGTCTTTTTACAGTTTCAAAGTTCATCATCATCAAACACCTCAGGACCCAGTACCAGTAGTTTTAACTTCTAGGAATATCACTGAGTCTTATTAAGTCTTAACACTTTGGGCCATATTCTGCACATTATGATCCCTGCTGCTGTAAATCAGACCAGAAATACGTGATCAAGCGCCAAGGCTGTGCCCTGTTTTGGGTCATGGTTTACTATACAGCAGCAGCAGCAGCAGCAGCATCAGCAACGGTTAACATGACTGTCATCTCCAACTACATGTCAGCCAAGATCATACAGCTGGTTATTTACAGGTTGGTTACACAGACAACACCTGGCATAACGCTACCTCGTGATTCAAATGTAGACATCCGGATAAGCAATGTCTGGCTATTGTCTTTGGTCACTGATACACCTGGACAGGGTAAACAGAAGGATTATTAAGCCATCACGAACGCTCAGGGTAAGGCAAGGTCACAAATAACACCCGTCTGCATTGACGTGTACTAAATCGTTGGTTTTCAAAAGAACGTGAGTTGGTTTCAATTGTTCCTCAACTCTGAACAAATACAACAAACTCAAAATACAAAAGTATCTTTTTAATATCATAGTTTAAGTGTAGGGCTCCTGGCCTCTCACTTTTTTCAGGTTTCCAGTTTGAGAAACCTGGGTTCAGGGTAAATTCTAGCTAAATAAAACTCTTCTATCTGACTCAGCAAAGTTCACAGGATACCTAGAGGTACTGGAAACCCACCAGCCCGTCATAGCAATCTGCTGAAAGCCTATAATGACTGCCATTAAGACACCCCCGTGAACATGCAATTTCTCTGTCACACACACTGGCACACAAAAAGGAGCTGGCTTGGTGTTTGGGGCTTTGGTTGCTGAGCTGGTAAAGACAACCAAGCTTTGAACCGGAATACATTGCGTCTCCCTTGAGCTTGATATTTTAAATGCTGCACAGACTCAGCTCAACATTCCTCACATATGTCAGTATGGTTCACTGCCTGGGCTAATAACTCTGTCTGACCTCTCTGAAAACACCTCCAGGCAGAGCAGTTTTTATATTGCATGTGTCAATGTGACATTTCTGTGTAGTGTAAGAGGTGATAACTAAACTCAGACACCAGTTGGGATGCACCAATACCAGTTTCTTTTTAGACCACATCAAGACGTACAAGTACTTACATTTGGGTCCTTGCTAATACTAAGTACCGATATTAAAACTTAATACCATTACAGTTCTAACAATGACTTCTTTTTTATTTTCAACAGATCTTCCTCTTTCTGACTGTAGCAAATGAAATGCTGCTAAGGTTGTTGTAAAAGTTGCTTAAAATATCTCCAAACTGCTGACATTGCTTCTCCTCCGCCTAGTTTTATACTAGTATCTGTATGGGTGCATCCCTAAAAAACATAACATTTAATAATTATACATCCAGCAGTTACATAGGAACATGATCATTAATTTGGAGTCATGTTTCTGACCAACTGGGGAGTCCAATATTCATTCTCTTTTATGGTTTGGTCTCTACCAACTCCTGAGAAAAAAATCTTTAGCTGCAAAAAGCTCCACTATGTTCACCAGCCTGGTATTACTGCTGTCTGGTGCCGAGTAGGTAGTGTACAGAGGGTTTATAGAGCAGCTGTTTTCAGCTAAATAATGAGCTGAAACTCACTACAAAGCTCTGTAAAGCCAAGGGGAGGTGCAGATTCAGGAATTCTCATGATTCTCTGTAGGTTCATCATTACGAGCGACCCCTTTCACACCGTCACATTGATTTCACTTTGTTACTACAAAAATGTAGATTATAGCTGCTTTAAAAAGGTCCAGTGTGTGAGATTTAGGGGGCAGATATGGAATATAATATTAGTGTACAATCTCCTGAAATAAGAATTATTAGGTTTTCCTTACCTTAAAATGCCCTGTTTATACCTACAGAGGGAGCAGGTTCTCTTCTATTAAATAAAATAACTTAATGTAAACCTTTAAATTTTGCAAATAGGCTTTATCTGCTTTCATAAAACAATAAAAGTTAGCTTGTCTTGTAACCGACTAAAATAATGTTGCGGTTGTTGGGATGGTACTTTGTCAGGTGATACAAAAAAGATTTGTTGCGTTTCCACCTTGGTTAGCACCGACCAACAGCATATTTTGTCTTAATCTGCCCATTGTTGCTTTTGAGATATCCAAACCACTTCCATATAACTGACATTTGACCTTTTTTGTCAATAATTTCAAGTTACAACGGGTAATGTTAGCTCAAACTATGCTTTGTGGAAGAACACGGTCTAGTACTTTGAAGTGCAAGCCAAAAACTGCAGACTGACTGTTGTCTGTGATCAGATCTAACCATAACAAAGAAAAATAGTTTCCAAGGTCTACCATCATTATCGACGTAAATGTTATCACGATCCTGTATTGTTTGTTTAATCAGCAACAGGTGAGTCGAGGGGTATTCAGTTCAGACGCCACTAAATCCTACACACTGGACCTTTAACTTTGTAAGTAGGGACCACAGTCTTGTTTAAGTTAAGTGTGCATACAAGACTAGACTATGGCTACAGTACAGTAAGTGACAGTAAGTTTACAGTATAATATACATTATACAATATACAGTGTTCAGTTACAAAAAGGTGTGAGATCATTGTTTTTAATAATAATAATAATCTCCAAAATCATCCAGATGGAAGGACGCAGGCCTTACTAAAATTCATGTGACTCCCAGCTGACATGAATGCTTTAAAAATCCAAACAATCAGAGATGAGGAATGCAGGAAGTGACGTTTTTATCCGTGAGCTGCTTGCCTGTTTTGAGTGTTTTTACAAACACAGACTGAATAGTTGAACATGAGTAAGCACATCCGTGGATGTTGGTGGTGACTCATAAGATCCAAGATAAGTGTGTGTGTGTGTGTGTGTGTGTGTGTGTGCGTGCGTGTGTAGCAGCCATCTTTGAGCAAGAGGTTCCTTACTTCTTGCCTGCTTGCTCTTGTCTCTGCTGTTCCTGAACGCCATCAACCGCTTGGTGGAAGTCAAACACTGCGGAGGAGGGAGAGAGGGGACACACTCTCACACACCTCAGAGAAAGCAGGGCTCACACATACACACACACAAACACACATTTTTGCATGCATACGTTCACGCATTCACACAGATAAAAGTGTCCGGGGATCACTTACCAATATGTGCTCTGTCTGAGATGATCAACCTTTTCTCCCACTCTTCTAGACCTACACACACACACACAAACACAAATACAATTTGAGTCTCCACACATTAAAGCACCGTCCTGTCCTGTTACTGCCTGTTATACACTGTATGTGTTTAAAACAAACTGTACGTCACTCACCTTTACCTTTGCGTTCATTCTTTTCTGCCTCATCAAACAGACCTGGAAGGTGGATCACCACACCATTGCCTGAGGAAAAAAATATAAATTAGGTGATGTTTAAATTTACAGTCTGATAAATAAGGACCACACAGAGTTTCATGGTTGTGTGCATAGTTACACCTTCATCATTCTCTAGATGACCCTAACTGACTCCTGTGACCCACATCTATAGAATACTTTATGAAATAATGCTAAATACATACATGACTGGTGCCATTTTTTAAGTATAGGGGGAAAAAATACACACAAACCAAAACGATGGAGGTGAACAAAATAAAACGTTTGTGGGACCTTTTTTTGTTTTGTTGGAGGTTTGTGACTGTAATTCTAATTTACATTATACTGCCGTGATTCACCAGCCATCCATCGAACAAGCCTCAAACTGATGTGACGCACACAAGATTTTACTAGATTTTATTACCCATCTTGCGCTGTGTCAGGCACAATACACTCATTGCTGATGCTAAAGGCTATCTCGTCTATCCAAAGTCTAATTATAAATTACATCTAAACCACAGTCAATGTCTGACTATGTGAGAGCCGCCCCCAGTGTGTACTCCAACTGTGATGTTAAGGGATGTATTTCTGTCAGGCAGAGCTGGCACAAATGATGCCTGTTCACAGAAGTATTGAAACAGCTGGCCCTGATTATCTTTTTAATCAGAATAAGTTGCATTAGGGGAGGAGGTGAAGTAATTACTTTGACCTAATTAAATGTAAAAAATGGGGGGGGGGGAAAAACCACACACACTCTTGACACTGTGTGAATTAGAGTGCGAGATATGCAGCTCAAAAACAAGAAGACCTGAACACAGATTTGCTCCCAGGGCTGGAGACCATGAATGTACTTTCACACGCAGGGAGAAAATAAAATATTCAGAAAAATGTCTCTACGATGGGACAACAAAACCATAAGACTACATGAGGAGTATAGTTTATCTGTTCTCCGGTCTCACTGTTTGAAAAATATGTTTATCTGTAAGTTCTACCAAGAAACACCAATAATACTAAATGTTTACCTGTTGCTGAAAGAGAAATCTAGACTTTCTTTGTGAAATGACAAGCACATGTAGTAATAACTGAGTAGAAGTCATTTTCTATTTATTTTTAATAGCATCAAAAACTTACTATACGATGAAGAATCGTCAAATGTCAATTCTATGAGGCTGTTCTCAGCAGACAGATCACAGGAAATGAACTTGGCATTTCATAAAAGTAGGTAACTTTTAGTACTAAATAAGTAGTAAGTAACTTTTTGTCATATTTGCTTTCATTTTCACTGTGTCCTGACAGTAGTACATAACAACAAAATCTGGTTTAACCTAAGTACCTAAGTATACAGTTACAGTACTGTTGGGCACTTTGGAATAAAAACATACATCAAATTGAATGTATTGTTATGAAAATGCTCTTTGTGTCTACTGCTGGGGTCAATGCTTGGCTTTTGACAAACGGTTCAGAAAAAGCCATATGTGGCAGCAATTTAATTCTTCCCATTTCTGTTGTTTTTAAATATTCAAAATAAAGAGATGAACTAATAAAACTGAAGTGATGAAAATAAATATGGGTATGACAAGTCCAACATGTACTGAAACACCATAGATCCAAGTGCATGTCACACTTGCCACACCACGGTACACGTGTTTCTGAGTGTGTGAGTCTGCAGAAAGGCATTAATGAGTCATATATCAAAGAGGAAAAAAAAGCAGAAATGTGATTAAGTATCGACATATCATACACTTGTACATGTTGCAGTGCAGCTGTGTGGAGGGTTGGAAGCCAGAAGGAAAGAGTAAAAAACCATTAGCTAATGAAGTTACTGCAGATGAGTGGATGTGATGTAGCCTGCAGTCTGGCTCCGAGTCAAGCTGATCGCACTTACTATTGCAGTCGTCAAAATGGAGGCCATTATCTGGCTATGACGAGCACCAGGCTAAAAGGAGTTTCGATCAATTCATCAAGAAAATAGCGAGGGAAATGGCCTTGGAGCGAGAGCCTGTGCGTAATTGTGTGTGAGCGAATGTGCGTGTGCATTACGCACCAATGAAGGCGGTGACCTTGGGGTTGATGATGCCGCTGGGGAGGAGGTGAAAGTCGTACTCCACCGAGTCGACCACCACCGTGTGCCCTGCGTTGTTGCCACCCTGCAGGGAACAGACAGAGACCGATGAGGAGAGACAAACAGAAACGCAGAGAGGTATGAGCCTAATGGGGGCTCTGCAACTTTGTTTGGCTCAGCTGGAAGGCAGGCTGAATAGTTTGGCAAGTAGCAACAGGCATCGTACATAAACCACTGGCCACTGTGTGTTAGTATGTTTGCTGCTCTGTGCTGTTGCTTAGAGACTCCAGTGTAAACCTACTGACAAATGTATCAGCAGAGGACAAGTACAATGGATTTCTGGCACTATGGATTAAACATTATGTAAATAAAGTTCTACACCCAAAACCACGTCCTGTCCTGACATGCTGCTCCCAACTACTACATCGAAACAACAAACAGCTAGCTGGAGGAATAATGTGTTGCGTTACAACCTTGTAATGAGAAAGCTCTCCTTTTTTGGCATGAATCATGTGGAATGATAAAACCGAGGCCACAAACCAACCAAAGCTTGGACAGTCAATGAGCTTCATGCAAGAATGACTTCTTCATATAAATGGCTTGCTTCCGGCAGCAAATGAGTCCCACCTCTTCATGACTAGGTGACAATTTATCATTAGCATAATCTACACCAAAAAAAGACAAATGAGGCTGTTTGTTGGCAGGTTCCATTCACAAAAATGCTACCAAAGAGCAAGAAGAATTTCACACAACGAAGCTTTAAGTCCTGCTGTCGAACATTAGCAGACAACACACACCTCTCTTATAGTTTAAATAAATCAGTATAGTGGTGGGAGATGACCTGAAACTATTGGAAAATATTAAAACATGTTAACCATGTGTGAAAGTATAGTTAGACATAGACGCTGAAAACCATGTTTATAAAGTAAGGCAGTCCATGACCAATATGAGAGGCAGTCAAAGTGATGAGACGAGAATATTACAGCCTTCAATAGGTGATGTTACAGTTGGGGCAACAGAGGTTGGGGCCGGACGGCTCAGTAAATCGGCAGGCCATGACCGTGAGCATTTGTTTTAGTTACACATTGTAACTTATTTTGGTATCATATTTTATCCCTCCATTCATTCAGATTGAGAAAGGAAGACAACATGACGGGTTTGACCCCACCACAACAGGCAACTGTATCAACACTGACAATATGTGCTCGCTGGGAGTTAAACCTGACATGAACTGCTTTGCTCCTCTGTTTTACATTTCACAGTCACTCATGGACGTGCAGATGGAAACAGAGGATGATATCAGCAGTGAAAAGAACGCAGGCAAAGCACAAAAAACTAAGGAGGACAAATGAATGAAGTATTTGAAGTATTAAGTTCTCTGTGATGACGATAACGCAGCTTCAGGTCCATTCATGCCTCTGCAGCTTGCGTCACTGCTCACTACCTTGAGGTGCCAATTCAACTTAGTCTGTCCTGTGACCAGGATGTGTTCCTAACGGTGTAGCCCGCAGACATAAATCAAGCCCAGCATGTGCTTTGACCACATGGGGTTATTCCTGGCCACAGCAGTACCCTGAAGGTGGAGAGGGGGGGCAGATGCCTCTCCTTTTTAAATAGTTTTACGATCCAGCCCCCGCGCCACCAAACATAACTCTGGTACTCATACGGCCCCCGTGATCAGCCTCTTATTCCCATCACGAGAATCTCAACTTTTGATACACACCTGCTGCGGTGCTACTGGGCTACTGTGCTGTGGTTTGTTCTCTACAGCAACACTGATTCACAATAAGAGAAAGGATTTGATTTAACAGAGTGGTGTCAGGGAAGATGTTTAGCCTGGTGGTGTTCAGCTTACACTACCTGAGCTCAGTGATTTTCTAGACACAACAGATGGAGACACATTCTTCACAATCTGTCCATAATGTAATTTTACTGTGTTGGTCAATTCTGCACACACACGACATTTATTGCGAGAAGAAGGATCGCTCCTGTGTCTTCCTGAGGCTTCTTCCAATTTTTCGTAAGGAAAGGACAGTGTCACATGTTGTACAGATTGTAAAGACCACTGAGGTGCATTTGTGGTTTCTGATATTGGGTTATGTAAAAAAAAAATGGACTTGACATTCACAGAAATAAAGTATGGAAAAATACAGGCCTGAAGGGTTTGGTATAAAATCGGATGGAAGTTCAGACCTCATACCTCTTTCAGACTAAAGCAAGGAGATGGGATAGACCTGCATAAACTGTTGGTTTCAATGGATCAAGACATGTTACCTGATCTCACACCAATCTGCTTTGGTATGAAATGGCAGACGTGGGTTACAGCTGAAACGTCTTGGTCATTAGAATCATTTAATTAGTTTATCCACAGAAAATTGATCAAAAATGAGTAATCATGATATATGATTAAGATAAAACAATCGTAGGGGTTATTATAACATATAGTTAAGTCTTCATCAGTCAAAAATTCTGGTTGTTTTTGTAGAAAATATATTATAAAATGTAAGTTCTTGTATAATCTCTTCAAAAGCAGATTTGAGTAAACAAAACCTTTAATTTAGTTACACCTGACAGAGCACACTACATCAAGCTTAATCTTTTGTGTAAAATAAAACTGGAAATGTGACTTTGCATAAGGCATGAAACGAACAATTATTATTATACAAACTGATGCCAAGTGAAGTCTGCCAAGTGCCAATTATTTCCTTACTTAATTGTTTGGTCTATAAAAACATCTGTTATAATCTCCCAAAGACCAAGGTGATGTCTTCAAATGTTTTGTTTGACCAACAGTCCAAAGATACTGAGTTTACAGTCATGTAATTGAGAAACTGGAACGACGACATGGCACTTTTGTAAAAGAACACTTGACTAGGGATTTGGTTTTGTGTCAAAGAAGACAATCAGATATTGAATGTCAGTTCCTTGTCCTGTATCAAGCACCTGTGTAGTGAATCTCTGAGCAGCAGGGTGTCACGGTGAGCACAGAAACCACCTCTTGAATAGGTTCAAGGTCACAAGTTTGAGCCCTGACGTTGGCAACCACGTACCATTTTTAAGTCTTATTTAACATGAAACTGAAGGCAGTCAGTTATATTCCAGTAGATCGATCGGCAGGGTGTTGTGTTAACTTTCTTTTGGATTATTCAACCAGTACAGCCAAATACAACTTTGAATCGAGTACACTGGAGCCTTTAAGGAGGCTAATGAGAGAATATGTGCACCATTTGCTTGGTGAGGCATGATATGGACATATGATATTCCGCAATAATGACTACTGACTATTCTGCCATCAGTCTCCTGAGATATGTTGTGCTGCCCTCTGGCCCCCCGCTTCTTCTAGGATCTGAGAAGACTGTAAGGAACACCGAGCAACACTGCTGGCAAAGCTTATTTTATAAAAAGATCAACGAAGCACTTCGCTGCTCACTCACGCATCTGCAGGCCCCCCAACACACACACACACACACACCATAATGTATAGAGAGGACGCTGTGCCAGACCACTGCTAGAAAGCGGTTTATTTTTACACATCTCCTGTCTTGGCAGGACTGCAGGAACAGGGACGCTCAGAAGCTCAAGAGAATCCTCGTTATGTCAACTTGTTATCATCGGAGATAACTAATAGTGCTCTGAACTCCACAGAGTTAAACACAAGCAGACAAAAGATTAGCGAGATTCTATTATTTAGGAGACTAATCAATCAATTAGCTAATTGTTACAGCTCTGTTGCATTTTCCCTTTTTTGGTACCGATCGAATTGTGCTCCTAGCACAGTGTTATTGTGTGGCCAAATTCCTACTCTTCTTTCATCAAAATGTATGACATATGTGTGTGTGTGTTCTGTGTATAACGTACATACATATGTCAGGATGTATTTGAATTAATCTTTGTGGTAAAAAGGTTTAAACATACAAAACCGTTGTACAGTAAGCTTGTCATTCTGACTTTATCGCCTGTTTTACTTTAGCACAGATCCGTTTCCTCACACAGACTCGACAGCAGCAAGTGTCAACAGAAACTACTGAGAGGCGGTGAATGTGTATTAAAAAAATAAAAATAAAAATAAGAAGTGCTCCACATTGTTGAATGTTGTAGCACAAAGCCGAGCTGAGCTGGTCAAACATGTTTTGTTTCCCAGACAATGTTGTCAAAACACGAGGTGGTTATTATTGTGGACATGTGGACTGAATACACTGTATACAGTTACACACCAAATATGACCAGTCCATCAAAGCAGAAGCCTTTCTAAAACATTTTATGCCGGAGCTCCGTCCTCCCCTCTACTACTGCTTTCACTCACTGTCTCACCTACACCAGTTCAGGGAGAGCGGGGACAGCCAGGAGAAAGCTCTGGCCATGTCTCAAGTCCAGGACAACAACTCACAGCATTTCAGTCTCCAATCCACCATTTTCCACCATGAAACCAGGGTGCAAGCAAATTTAACACAAAGTGGTAGGAGTCGATCAACCGAGCCAACGTCCAGATAAAAAGTGGAGGAGTCACATGGATATCACTAAAATTAGAGCTTGATAAGATAAAATACGGTAACAATCTGAAACACTGAAGGTGAGTAACAACTCGCCATTAGCTGGACAATCACTCTGTCTATAGGCCTTCATACTGTGTGCGTCCACAGCCCCTATAGACGATCACTCATAATCCATTTAAGGCTAAACCTCACAACTGCGCACACTTTAACCCACCCATTAAACCCTGATGTTAGATTGGCTCTGGCGAGAACATCTGTGTGTACGTCCCGACACACTTACGTAAATGTTATCAACGCATTTAGGCATGTACTTTTGTACCCCTCCCCAGCCTGTCTGAAATGATAAGGTCCTATATGTTTGGGGCCCTCAGAGGAGGACAGTGTGTATATGGATGTGTACAAGGATCAAGATAAGTTTGTTTAAAAGAGAACAGACAGCATCCTAATACACAGGGAGGTGATTGGCTGAATGGATGCTAACAAACTCAAAAGTTGTCAGCATATTACAACAAATGTGGTGACATTTTTGGTGTTTCCCTGTAACATTTAATCTAATTTGGAGATTAAAAATGACATTTAGCACTGCGGATGTAATGAACAAGTACAGACATTCATTGTCATTTCACTCAGCTACAACAGATGACATCTTTGATAACTTTAATCTAGCTAATGCAGCCTTCAGACCAGGAAAAAACATCTAAAAAAAAAAAGGCATCATGGTGAGGAAACTGCACCAACCACAATCCCACAATGACACAGTATAATATCAACATTATCTCGCCCAGCTCTGTGATTAAACTCGTGCCAGAATGAATTAAAACCCAAACTGCTGCCAACATTGGTCTGCTGCTAGCCAGCTAGCTTTAAGGCACAATGGTGGCCGGGGGGGGATAAAAAGCCCAGTGTGCAGTGATGCACCTGGTCCCTGTAGTCAGCCAGAGGTACCTTCAGCTATGTTGTCATGTGCACACGACAGGAGACAGTTCACCACAGCAATATAGGTGTCCGAGCAGCTAAACAGCTAGCAGGAATTCAAGGTGACATTAGCACAAAAACCAACAGTGAGAACAACAGTGGCTGAGAGGAGCTAGCGACTCTGTGCTTAGCTTTCTGCAACTAACTTGTTTCAGCTGGTTGGCTACCTGCTGTGTTACTAGCTCTACCGAGGTGATGGGGG